TACAAATAAAATTATTAAATACTATAATAGCGAATAGTGACAATGTCTTCAAAAAGCACTAGACTCTTGTCTTGTCCTAGAAGAGAAGGGGGTGCTGAAGCTAAACAAAGAGTGGCTTCTCTCTAAAAGGATATTGTTCAGCTTGTAAAGAGGATGACTCATACAATCTATGCATTTTTTCCTATGAAAACCCCTTAACTGAGTGGCACACACTTACAAACACCTGGTTTACAGCAAATAAAAGGGAATAACAATTACAAAATTACATAACTTGGTCATCGGATTTAGCTGCAGCCATAATTAAAGAAATAAATGGAAGTAGACCCATCAAAAGGCTACTGTGTATAATGGGAGAGAATATAACATAGTAATCCATGAAGTATTGATTTTTAAAACTTAGAAAAAATATTAAATGACCATCTCTTTATTTTTGCTTTCTAAATGGCCACTGTCAGAGATGGGATACAGCATTAGATGGATTATTGTTCTGATCAGCAACTCTAATGTAATCTCTATTGTTGCATATTTAATGCTGTAGGGCTCTGACAGAAGAGGACATTAAGTTAATCAAATTACGTCCAGGACAATTAACTGCTCATATCCTGTAATTTTAAATAAAATTTGAAGCTATGTTTGTCCATTACCTGAAAACAATTCAGTTAATGCTTTTAATAAACAATCCCATAGCTATGACTTTTAGAAGGGAGAAGCTTTTTATTTTAAAYAAGCCATCTGCAATGCATACCATTTGAATTTGGGGGGTTGCATTTATTTTGCTACATTAAACATTGAAAACTAAAATTGTGCAAACAAAATGGGTAAGTTTTAAGGAAAGACGGATTTTATAGCATTCAGCCATGGTATGGGGTTCATGGCATGGTTATGCTACAATATCATTCAGCTATGAACTTGCACATGATAATCACTATTTGTGTTGACATTTGCAGGTGCCACGCTTGACTGTTACTTATTCAGAAGTCTAGTTTTGTGTAACTGTTATTCTCAATCTGTATTTGTTCTGACATTCCTTTGCCTCCTGAAAGCCTTTAATGTTCCATATTTGAGCATTATAATCAAAGGACATTCAAACCTACTTAAAACATAATGCATTATTACATTACAGTATGTTTGTATATGAGTAACATATGCTTTTAAATGAGAGAGTGTTTTAAATGTACTTATTCCACATTAATGCCATAATCTACCTTTAAAAATCTATGATAATTTGTTTTCACTTATGTATGGGTTCATGTCCTTATGTGTATAAGCACTCTTGGGTATTCACATACATATGAGAGCTCTATGTCCTGCTTTACCAAAAAATAATAAAATCTAATTGAACAGATCATGCTACAATCTCTCTAGGCTTTTTAACAGAGATTGATCAACTTAAAACTACATTAACAGAAAAGAAACATCTTCCTTTATGTCCAGTGGACTCGTCTGAAGATATTTGCCAGCTGGTATCTCACTGTAAACATCTAATTAAACAGGCACAGTTGCCTGCCCTGTACCTGCTTTCCTAGGTATGTAGACTTGAAGAGGCTCTCACATTGGTGCCAAGTCAGGGGGACGTTGGCTAGCTGGTGACAAGGAGGCACTGTATGACGCTTTCAGTGACACCACTCTCCTCTCTTCTGCCACTCATGTCTTTATTCAAAATTTCAGTATTCTTCTCAAGCAACTATTGCAATATTATATAGCTTTAAAGCAGAAAAGAGAGTCCAATGTAGCACGGAGAGACTGCAGGTGTCTGAAGTTATATATAACTGCACTAAAAAGCATAAAAGAAAACCGAGTATCAGGTGTTGCTTGCTATGAGATAACACTAGTTAACAGCTCAAGTGGGACTTGAGGAGTTACGAAGGTCAGCTGGAACTTATCAAATCCATTACTGAGCTAATATAACACCTGGAAGAATAGTGGCCTTATGTCTGTCTTTAAAAATACTGCTTTTCATCTTTATATGTAAGATTGCAAATTCTCCCTTAGGAAAAACATTATGAAGAAAAAAAATAAGGCTGCAAAGAAATATTTTCTGTACTGCACCCTCATCACATCTGCTCAGTTAATAATACAGAAAAATATTTATAACTACTATATAAGTTTTAACATGTTTCCACTTAAACTATAAAAGTTGGTGTCAAAAATATGCAACTTTTTCTAATACTTCATCTGCACAGAAATATTTCCAGAGATATTCTTTATTGTGTGAGGATGCTAAGAAATTTTTTTTCCCTTTTAAACAGTSCAAGTCTTATATTGTGGCAAGCAAGGATGCAGAAAATTTCTAACAGACATAAATAGATTACAAAAATTTCTTTTTTGTGTGCATTTTATCTGGTTGCCATGATACTCCACTGAAAAATCATGTATGTTCTATAAGTGTTGCAATGCAGATATTTTACCTCTGCAAGGGASAGTGCTGCCCTTTAAGAAAACCATTTTCTTTCTTGGATAATATTTTAAGTGATGTCCTGCTGTTGTTCCTTTCAGAGTGCTGTTTTATCTTACTTCTTGATGACCTCCTACAGCAGTATGCTCCCTTCCCATTGAATCATGCAGCTTGGAGCACATCAGTCTCCGCATATATTCTTAAATATTTGGTTGAAGGTCAATCCTGTCATCCAGAAGAGAACAAATACATGTAACTTTTTGCTGTGCTCCACTTAACACAAGCTTGGAATGAAAAAAAAACACTTACCTGGTATGATGCTATAACCTCTGATACTGGAGGGGTGCCAAAAATAACAGCTGGATGCTCAGGTACGCATATTGCACTTATTTTACAAACCTTTGGAAAGCAAAGATGCAGGCAAATAATTGGGAGGAAAAGGCTGTTTTCCTACTTCTGATGCCATGTAACAGAATTACACGCAGCAGTTTGGGGCGCAGGGTTTGACCCCACAGAAAAAGAGGAAAACTCCTTTTGCCAGGAGTTGCTTTACTTCATGGAGACCTAGAAATCCAAAGAAACAGCACCCTTCCTTCCCTTTATTTCTATTTCTCCTTATGCCAAAGTCAATGCAAATGTTAAACACTACATCAGATACACTATTTGGAGGCCCACAGAAAACCATGTCAGTTTCTCTATTACTATATACCTAGACCAAACAAATGTGCATAGGCACAAAAGAGACTCATCCCTCGTGTAGAAACAAGTTTACAAAGCAACACCTTAATGTGAATAGCTTAAAACAGGTAAAATATTTAAAAGTTATTGATAATTTTTTTTTCTTTTTCCATTTTTTCACATAGAATTTTTGTTCCAAGTTACCACCTTGAAACAGCAACATTTAACTTTGGATTAGAGAAATATTTGGCACATAATACCTCACTTAACCTCCAAAGTGAGGCATCCAAGACATACGGCTTCCCAAAAGCAGAAGAGACCTCGATTTTATAAAACGATATTGAAACTTTGCATCCTGGCAGCAGCACTTCCGAAGGAAGCTTTTTTTAGATGATTTTATAAAGTTCTAAAATATGCATTTTGGTCTACATAGTAAGTAGTCAGTCTTTATGCAAAAAATAATCTCTCTTAGTTGTCATAAATAAATATGCTAGCAAAAATAATCAAAAAGAAAATCTTTTCTAACCCTTTTTTGGAACAATACATCTATGGCAAAGAATAGCAGATGAGATGTTGACCTCAATAGGAGAACCTATATAATTTCCTGCTTCTAAAATGACTTTGGAAGTCGCCCTTATTAGAGCTAAGAAAGCTTTTATTGCATGTCACCACGGCATTATTCTGCCTGCATGTTGCACTTCATTTTATATGAATTGTTCTTCCAGGCTTTTCTTTGTTCTTTTGATTTTCTTAGACTTTACAAACAAATGCATTTTCATTTCTCCCTAATATGTTTCTTTTATGTGAATAGATAAAAAAAAAAAAAAAAAAAAAAAAAAAAAAAAAAAAAAAAAAAAGAATAAGTAGCCTTATTTCATCCACTTTTACTCTGCCCCGAGCCCCTCCAAGTTTAAAAGAACAAAAGGTAGAAAATGTGTTATTACAGTCCTCCTAGGAACTGCTGTTTGGAAAGGTATTTGGCAATCTCCGTGCCCTTGGAGAGTCTATGARGTTTTGTTCAGAGAGGCAGCCCCCACGGTTCAGACCAGAGGCCAGAAAAAAAGGAAATGATAACTGTGCGAAATGTTCTGCAACGCAAACACAAAACGGCTTCACTCATGGCAAGAACATAATGAAGCGCAGTTGACTGACTTGCTTTTTGTCTAATTTCACTATAATAGTATTCTGACATAATGCTGACAGGGAGCAAAATACTTGATAGACATAGATCAGTGGTTGTGAACACAGCTTCTGGACCTAACCCAAAAATATACAAATATTCTATCAACCTGGGGCTAATAGCTACATTGGATGAAACTAATTCTGTATTTTGTGAAATGTTCCTGCATTATGGGTAGTAGTCACATTGTCCTTATACAAGCAGTTAAATTTTATTTAGTAAAGACAATTTTACAGACAATGTAGACTTCTGATAGTATTTACACCTTTTGCTTGTGTATACAGACACTATCTTTTACGTTCAAGGCATTCTCGTTGCATCCATACTGGTCATATATTGGTGCATACAGATCTGAAATGGCTGCAACTGGTGTTACGAGACTGACCTACGAATATGCTTTTAGCTAAGGATTTGAGGACACTTTTGAAGAAAATGTTAATTTTATTTACATTTTCAGTGATTTAATCTGTCTCAGACCCATAAGGAATTGTTACCAAGACATCCGAGACCCTTCTTTATGACTTTCCATCATGTGAAGATCAACATACCTATGAGGTAGGGAAAAGAGCTTATTCTTACTTTCTRCATGGAAAATGAAGAAAACTCGGTGGGTACAGCACAAAATAAAGCAGTGTGGTAAAGCACAGGCTCTGGCCATTATTTCTCCATTCTTAACAAGCACTGGACTGCCTCTTCTCCATTTTTAAAGTTTCCTGCCTGCATTGACTTGTCTCGAAGTACATTTCCACTTCTGCTTCAAGGCAACGTTGATTAAGTTCGTAGTCATCTATCTGTCCAACCAAACAGACATGTTATTACAAGCATATTATGTATAAAAATACATTTTGATTCAGTTTGCATTAGTTTCCACTTTAATCTCAATTATATATGCAACAAATACATTTATTAACATAATAAATATTCTCTRGCTGTAATTTTAATGTTAACAGAAGACAACTTAATTGCTTTAAGAATTTTACTCTTACTGTATTTTATGTGACTTATAAGCCAAATATTATGTACATCMATCAGTGTTCTAGTGTTGAAAAAATTGCAATTACAGGAATAACTCACATTTTAATAACACTAAATGCTATTTCACTATGTTAGAGTCCATTGTCACAATGCATAATATTCAGATTTCCTTTCATTTAATAGGAGAGGCAATGAAGAGAAAAAAAGAGATTTAACTTTAGTACCATCGTATTTTCATTTCTGCTAAATATCACACTGAGTACGGTTCACATTTATCAGTTTGAGTATGCAGCAGTTACGGACAAAGTTTTTGTGTATGTAATTTTTTTTATTAATTTTCCCACAAATCAATTTATATGAGAAGAAAAAAAGGGAAATAAAGATAATAGTTTCATAAATATCTAAAGAGCAAATCATAAATTGTATCACAAATCATCAATATATCGTTCTCTTACCACGTTCTTTCTTTCGGAAAAAGGAAATCAAAAATCTCATATACTTTTATTTTATCTCCATACTAAATCATACAATTATTTGAGCAACTTGTAGCCTTCTTTCCTTATGCTTCCTTGCTACTTTACATAGGCAGTGTAAAATCAAGGCTTTTCTTTTTGTGAAAGTGTAGGTATATATTTCAAAAGAGCGTGCAATCACGAAAYCCATAAAATCAGCCTCCTATCTTAAAGTTGCATTCACCCTACCTTTGGCAATTAGACACGTGTACCATTTGSACTTGCAAATACTTGCATTTTTTCTCTAAGTCCTCCAAGCTGTCTCTGATTCCTTTCCCCTTTGCCTTTTAAAATACAACTGCCCTTGAAACCGGCTTCTTCCTGATATAAATCAGATGATGCTCCAAAACGATGCAGGCTGTCCCCCTCAGCAGATGGGGCTCTTCCAGCAGCTAAGTGCCACAGGGAAGGAGGAGAAGRGCTACCACGCCCCAGCTCTGCACTAGCAGTGGAGATCTAACCTTAACAAGAGCCATATCTGACCCATTTCAATGCCAGACACTCTGTATGTAAAGATCTGAAGCCTGTAACAGCAGAAATGCCTTACATATCTTTAGGTAGGGAACAATCAGTGAGATCTTATGGYTGATCTTAAGAAGAGATGGAAAAGGATGAGGGTCGCCAGACGTCACATATTTTGTAGCTCTTTAAGTGTGAGGAGCTGAGGTCAGGAAGAAAGGTAACTCCACTACTCTAGGCAATATTATACAGTGCTAAACCGTGCTAGAAAACTACCAGTACGAGGTAAATTAATWTAATTTTGACTGCTTTGACTGTCAATCAATGTAAGAAGACATTAAATCACAATGGARATGACACTGTAATATGATGATTATTCTCCGGGGATACCCTAAAGCATGAAGAGCATATAGTACAGGCCAGTAATTATCTCATGAAAAGTGCGCTCCCCRGAGATCACTTCAGAGCTATTACACAGACATTGAGGAGAAAAGCATGTACATATGTTGTGTTAGGGGAAGATGAAGACGGCACTTTGCAGTCACAAAAATGAGTTTTAGGTGACTGTGAGGTTCACACTGATTAATTTAAAGTGTTACCAGCCAAGTGAACACCTCTCCAGCTGARGCATATTTATAGCAGCTAATCACACTGTGAAGCTGTAGCATATAAGGAAGTTACAAAATAACTCTGCTCTCTTTTCAGTTATTTTTCCAGATATGAAGTACATCCTTTGAATTTGTGCCCCTCAAAGGTACTTTAAAAAGRGCATTTTTTTTTAAATCTTTTTTAAACATTATATACATTACATTTGACCTATGTACAGAATATTACTGGAGGAGGACTGTCGAGGCTAATGTTTTGGTCTAAGTTCTGGGGAATTTCTGCACTTGACCTAAATTAGTATCAGTTTACAACTCTTGGAATAAGACAGTCAACAGCTTTGCCATATGCCTCTAATAATTCCCATATTGCAATACATATTTGCTTACACCATTCTAACACTCGATCATTTTAATGTCCCTGGAAAAGTGCCTATGGATCTCCTTTTCTCTTCACACAACAACTGAAATATTTATTCTTTAGCTAAACAGTATCCCTCACATCCAACACACAATTTCTGTGTCTGTCAAAACAAATACCACATAGTCTGTGTACTTGTATGGATACTGTGTATAAGTATATAGGAATTTTGTTGCTGAACTCTCTACGCTTCCCTTGAAAAACTGACATGCATGAAGTACGCAGAAAAATGCTATATGGGTGAAAATCTGCTGTGTAAAAGCAGAATTCTGTAGAAATTGTCATATTAGCTAAATACTGCAAGTGAATTTATAAACATAAATGCTGACTGTTCAATGCTAAATATATATATACTTTTTAAAAAAAGCTATAAAATTTTAGGTTTATAAAGTCAATATTGTTGAATATATTTACTTCTACAGATTTGAAACAAGATATTATCTATATTTTAATCAAATCATGATGACTATGATGACTGTTAGTAGCAAATATGAGGATGCAATATGCAGCCTTTGTGTGTAATAAAAAGGAAGATGAAAAGACTTCAGTACTCTAATATTGATTACAGTTTTGCATAAGATGGAAATGAAAAAAATTTAATTATTTGTTCCTTCCTTTTTTGTWATGTCCCTCTAAGGAACACATTGATATCGAAGCAGGACAGGAAAAGGGACAGGGAAATGATTTTGAGGATATTAGTTACAAACAGATATTATGAAGCACTAATCTATTTGTAGTTCTTTCTTTTCCCCCTCTTTTCCCCTAAGTAATTTCACAAAGGTGTAAAGACTATAAAAGAAAAGACGTTATATCTGTGTCAGTATTTTTGTCACATTCTTAACAGAACACTTCCCTCTCATAGGAGAGTCAGAAATTCATGCAGAAAAAGGTAAAATTCATTCTTGGAAGAGGTCCAACACACCCAGGTCCCATTTAGGTTTTAATCTGACAAGTTCATTGTTTTTTTTTTTTCCTGATCTTGTACCCACCATCTGTTCCCAGGATGGATTTCATCCAAAATAGCAAAATATAGCAGAATGGCCAAACATTAAATGCAGTGTTCACATGACATATACGATGCATGTATTCTGCTTTAGAAATAAGCAAATATTGAAGTAGCATCAACTGATGCTGACTATGAGTTACAGATTGAAATGGGCCACCACTGTTTTTTCATTTCCTGAGCTTAACCAAATAGGAGGGACTTGCTGTGCTCCATGCTATTCTTAATGCTTATTATTCCCTTTTTAGTATTCTATTCTTCAGCGATATCAGGCATTACACTGCATCTCCTGTACACCATGACCCCTATGCCTTTGCAAAATAAAGCTCTGCTTACAAAAGGCTAGAGATCACCWTCAACAGACAACTCAAAATCACTGGTGTTTCAACTCCTATACAGGTTAACCTTTAGTTAAAGACYCATCTATGAGAAAATGCACTACATGTTTTTCTTTCAAATCCCTGGGGTAGATTTTGAAGATAAATTTGACTGTTCATGTGTAAGTAGAAAGCAAGAAGCAGAAAACCAGTTTTAGGAAGCAGAGTAGTGTCTAACAAAACTGGAGCTATTTAGCAAACAGCACAAAAATGGGTTTTGTGTTAATAAACCTAGTGACGTTCACAATCCATATACTTTAATTTGAATTAAWTTTTTTTTTCTTTACTGAGTGTGATGAAGTTTCCAAAAGCCTCTTAGCTTTATCAGTGGTAGTATTTCATTTTAGCGCTGTTTGTAATTAGTTATTTACACTAACAGAACAAATGTGGTGCTTCCAGCAGAAAGCTAAAGGCCAATGAGAAACTGAGAAGGAAAAAGTACTAAAATATTAAGCTATTCAGCAAGATTTTCAAGTTTGTTAAAATTAATGCAGGCTATCATTGGGGTACTCTACAGTTCAGTGCTTCACAAATAASAGAAATGAAGCAGCACTACTTTTTGTACGTTTCAGCCCAATTTTTAAGCTGTTTTATTTTCCTTTAACAAATCAAGACACCTAACAGGTCACAAAGCTTCCAATATAAACCAGCAGAATGGTAATTTGCCATATATGTGTATCCTGAGCCACCTATAACTTGAATGCATCCTGAATGATTGAAAAATACATTGCAGAAACAGAAATCAGAACAACCAAGAACAAAGAATTACATGGGTACCTGTTTTTCAGTATTTTGACAGTTTCATTCACTGATCCCCATGTCCTGTCAGAAGAAAGGAAAATAAAAAATAATGAAATATAAGACGAATGTTTCAATACAGGCTCTGTGACTCTGTGAATATACGTTCTATGCAGAAAGGCATAAGCTGTACTGAGGTACCCACGCTGCCAACACACATGTGACTGCACTAATAATCAAATAATAAATACTTGATCCACTTACCTCACAGACAAGTAAAAATAACTGAGAAAACAAAGGAAGAATAAACAGCTGGCTGCAGCTTTGGTGGCAGTGATAACCTGTGTCTTCTTGTACAACTAATGATCAAGGAGTATCAAATAGCCCTTGGTCCARCTACACTACAAACGGTTTTGGGCAGAGAGGAAAGAGACTTCATATACATATACGTGAAGGTCTCTTCCATTTTTTCTACACAAAAACTCACCACCATCATTGTCAGACAGGCCTTTAGCCATCATTCAAGGTTTACAAGTCTGCCACATGATCACTGCCCTCTAAAGACATCTCCTAGCATTTTAAAAGACATCTTGTGTTTAGCATTTTAAAGACATCTCGTAGACATTCCCATAGCAGATTCCTCTAGGCATGATCTACATTGCCTGATCATACCTCCAAATTTCAGCAAATTGCAAATTAGAACTTTTCACACTAATTCAATTTTACTAATGTTATGAAAAGATGGCAATTACATTTCATAACATCTCATGCTGTCTGCTGGAAGCCAATCAATTACTACTGACAGCCTTGAGGAGAAAGAAGACAAAAGACAGCTTTCAGTGTGTTGGCTTGGGAATTGCTTCTCTTGTTCTGCTCAGACTAATGTTCGGCAAGCTGGTTTGAGAGAACTTGCCTAACAGATGTGGAAGGCAGAAAAGGACAAGCAAAAGGGCGGGAGTCCCACAAAAATCAGTAAACAGCTAACGACATAAACACCTTGTTGGGTGAAAGGTGGAGTATGAAATGCATATTCAACATGCGTGTCAGACCACACAAAGTGTTGGCAGCAACAACCTTTTATGGGATCTCTCCGAAGTGTATTACAGTCTAGCCTGGACTCAGCAATGTTGAGGAACTGGATGCATTTACACATTAATAACTTACCTTGGATCTAACTGAAAACAATATATATWTTTTTTAACTTTCATATAATGTTATTGAGCATATTATGTTTATAAGGGCTTCCTTTTTTAATGAAAGGTACCACATTCTAAGACAAAATAAGGAAGACCCTCAAGYAGCTAGATGAATATCACCAACTTCTTTACACATAACATAAAATATTTACAAAGAGAAATTGCATCAGAGACCAGTCAAACATGAAAATCTTTATTTTTCAGATGTAATCTGAGAGCTCCCATTCAAGTCAAGAGGATTGTTGTGCTCTGGCAGCTGCAACTTTATCTTGTTCTAAGTCTTGAGCCTGCCCTACACTAATGGATGGTTCAAAGCCACCATTTCTCAGAAGTATAAATGAAAATATTCTTTCCTTTCTCTCAAGTACAAAAGGTCTGTTAGTGGTTGGGTTATGAATTTTGGTTAGAAGATGAACTCACTTCGCCCTAATTGCATACTCCAGGACCGTCCTAAGTAAATTTTTATCTAATTTTTCTCATTTACATAGAAAACAGCAATATATGTCATATATGTCCAACGCTTTTCTCAGCTGAGTCTTTTTTTCATTTTCCATTTCTATAAAAGACATTTTTTCCATAGTCTTCATTCATGCATTTACATTAATTTAAATATTCAGAGGCAATCTGGAAATAGAAATATCTCAGAAAGCTACAGGTGTCAAAAGGAGTAATCAAAGGCCAGAACGGTGTTCCCTGTTGGACGGTGACCTCTCACCAAGGATAAAACACTCAAAAGCATTAAATCTTATTATGAAAAAAGCTCTACAAAATGACATCTCAATTTAAGAATCATTAGAATTACAATAAATGCAACAACTTTGTTTTGCATATTCATATGAGCATTTAAACTTGGATAAAATAAATTATGTCTAAGACTCAGTGGTACATTCTGATGCTCTACTTCTCCTGCAGGAGAAAGTCCTACCTCCTCACTCTGGAGATCCAAACTTTGATTTAAAAATGTTTGTTGATGACAGTAGGAATAGCAAGCTTATCTTGTTACTCACTTCAGGCTTATTACTATGGAATTCTTTCTTCTCCAACTTCTAGAATGAATAAAATGAAATTTATTAAAAACTAAAAGCAAACATAAAAATAGCCCTATTTTCCTTGTCAATATTCCCTGCCAGGATTCTCAAAACGAATCATAAATTAAACTGAGTATCTTAGTTTCTAATGATGTTTTTACATTTTGCCTTGAATGCAAGTCAAATTAAAAAAAAAAAAAAAAGGGAAAATACCATTGCGATTGTACTTTGTATTGAAATGCTACCTGTCTGAAGCTCTCGGACTGATGTCAAGCTGACTAACGATGCCTCTGTTTCTAACAGTTTCTCCTCTGCACCACTGCTGCCTGCAGCTCACTGACCACAAGAACAGGGCAGCTCCTCCTGCCCCTCCTGGGTCCTGCTCAAACTCACAAGTGCCCCTTTCCCATGTGAGCAGGACATGGGAGAAGATCCCACCGAGGTGCCTGCCCCAGGCCTACCTCTCCGGCCTTCCTCTGGCACCAGTCCCTGAAAAAACTACACTTTGTTTTGAGAGGATGGTAGAGTTGGTATGAAAGCATGCCCTCGCCTRAAGGTTAGAGAAACAGCAGCATTTCCTCCGGGACAGAAATAGAAAAATATATCCCATGGGCAAAGAAAGGCGTGCCGGGAGTTTTTGTGGAGTGCCATCACCTTGAACTGTCAGGCAGAGGCTTTATTCATGAATCCTGTGAATCTGCAAGAATGCCACAGGCAAAATTTCCTTCCCCAAGGAACATATCCAACACCTCCTCCTCAGGAGTTCTAAGATCTAGACTGTACTGTCTTTTTTCATTAATTTTGAACAGCTGAGCAGGCACAGTCAGCTCTGCTGGCCCACCTTGTCACCGCCGACAGAGGAAGCTCCCAGAGCGAGTTGCACAGCCACCGCCTCCCCAGACAACAAGCAGGTGCTACAGCTGCTGCTTCGCCGCTTCCATGCGGGATGACGGGATGGCCCCAGGAGCGACGAAGCCCACAGCATTTTCACTGCAGTGTTTTGCTGAGTTTGAATGCCATCTAAACTTAGGACAAAACGCTGCCTCTACTTCATTCCACAGCAAGAGAGTTTTAATGAATCTGTCCCTGCAATTTTCAATGCCCCAAATGCCAGAGCCAGTGTCGTGAACTGACACATTGTTTAGTCGACATTTTAAAAATCTCATTTAATTTTATCGTAGTTTTTTTGTCTTAAATCCTTAAAAGTTTATTGCACAATTAAATGATGCTCTCAGTCAGGGGGAAGAAATGCTCATAAAGTGGTAATAAGCTAAGCAGTGATACCGAGACAGAAGCTGCAATTTTATTTCCTCCTATCATAATATGAACAAGTATTTGTTCTGTAAAATAAGATGCAGAATCTTCCTAAAAGCTGGAAATGACAACGGATCCCCCTCCTTTTGTGTGTCTGTATGTGTGTTTGTGTGTTGGATGAAGTTTGAGTGCTTGGACTACCATGTTTCTGCTGTACTGGCTTCATCAGATCAATCAGTAGAAGGAAATCAGCACCAGCTGATGGAATCTTTTTCTACAACCATTTTGCTGACTGATGGCTGCTTCCATGGCACCATATATTATTTTTTTTCCAGAAAGCGCCTCTGCTTTCATACAAGCATTTTAACATTCCTGCCTCTAACCAACTAATGAAATCCTGCACCTGTTGTAAACGGGCCTGATTTTAAAGACAGATGACTAAAGACATCTCCTAGTGATGCTGGAACGATTACTCGTGAGTTAAGCGAGTTAAATGATGTTTACAAGTGTAAAGCTCTACTTACACTACTCAAACATAATACTCACAAGGCCCCTTTTTATAAATGGGAATTTTAGTGTCATTGCTATTTTTAWGACAACAGCAATGATTTTTGTGTCAATTATCACCTCCATTATTAAATTGCTTCGATAGCTTCTAAAGAACATTCCTATTCACCATGAGTAWGGAAAACCGCGTGCTTAAAATAATTATACAAAGCTGCCTAAGCATGTTAAAAAATAAACACCAAGATATATATAGGTTGAATGAAATATCAAATCACAAAATAATACAGAGCTAAACCATTGAGTAATTCTGCTTTCTTTTTCCATTGCTAATTAAATGTCACTGTAAGAATAAAAGAATTCAACAGCGTGTTTTCCAGAAAGTATCTTGTTAAAACACCTCTATATAAAGGATCCCCTACCTACTACTTAACTTTACTTTCACTCAACATTAAAATATATTAAACATAATTTGGAAAGAGGCAACATAGCATAATCTTCACATTAAGCACTAAAACATTAAAAGAATATTTAGAGTCTCATAAAAAAGGAAAATAAGTTGCTCTCCTCTTCTACACAGCAACACAGTCACTTGAAGCATATGATATATTCATTCTCTTAAGACTCACAGTATCTAACATTTATAAACATACTTAAAGATAGGCTATAGACTAAAAACTAGCAGACACTCGCTTAAATAGCCAGATGAATCCTGGCATCAATTGCACAATAACAGTAAAACCAAACTCCTGTTTTTTTATGTAGATGTTAAATAAATTAATTTGTAAAGTAAGAATATGAGTTTTTTCTGATTATAATCTTAGTCCTTTCTATAGTAAAATCCCACTAACTTCAGTCGCTATCTGAGAAGCAAATGCATACGAAGCTGCTGTGCCTCTTCAAAGATATCCTTACATAAAAATATAGTCATTCTTCTGGAGTGTGATGAGCAGGAGTGACAAGGAGATACTTTATTCAATATTATCCTGTAATTTACAGCTGATGGAAAACTTTCAAACTGCTTAAACAGAGTATGCTGATTTCATTAAATCAAAACATATCATCAGAATGGATCAATGTCACTGATATTTAGAAAAAAAGAAACTGGGAGATGATTCTCTCCAGTAAGGTAAAGTCCTTAGTTTCAAATACCACGTTCTGTCATGAAAGCTAAATATTTTACTATACTATACTTACCAGGAATGTAACGGAGCTGCAACAATGCAATTACTTGAAGCATTTCAGTCACATCAAAATTAAGCACTTGAATCTCAAAGGCAGCTGGCTTCCAGACTACACTGAAAATACTAAATGATACCCTGTTTGGAAATATCATTTTATTATCTGGGGAAATTTTGACTGCATGTGCCAAATTAGGAAGAAAAACAATTTCAAATTAAATGTAAATCTAAAGAAATTTTTACCAACTTTACTGAAGTCATGCTTGCCTTCGTTTCTTTTACGGTGCACTGTACAGCACTGTGTGGAGAACTGAAGAGTTATAACACTGGACTCTAATGGCTCTTAGATCAATAAAGCCCCACGACATGCTGTACTCCCAGGTGAAAGGAAAATTGAGCTGGCAATTGACATCTCAGATCTGCCAGTTCCTAACATTCACAGAGACATTATTATTTAGCATGCTTGAAAGCAACATTCTAATATAACCAAAGGTCAGGGTTGAGTAATAAATCTGAAGCTAGAGTCAGTTTATCATAATACTGCCATGTAAAAGTCACAACGTGTAGGCAAAGGTCAATTTTAACATGTCACATTTAGATATTTTCCCTTTGGGTATGATAAAAATTTCTCTGTTACGTGATGGGTAAATATGGAAAGGTATAGTGATAACTAAAAAWTATATTAGAAATTATCTGATTTTAATTCTGCAGTAAAAACACATTTTTAGAGACTACAGCACCACTGTGGTTTAGTCTTTCATTTCTCAGTACATTACTAAGTTAACTTTACCATACAATTCTCCTTAATCAGTAAACAGAAAGATTTTATCACATCACACAGATATTTTCAAGGAATTCCAAAGTTTTACTATTTTTTACATTCCACTGAAGGCATTAGAAGCATATTGTACCTTTAAGGAAGATCATCACTTAGCAGAAAAGCTTCTGCAACTGAAACAGTGTTACATGAACCAGCTTCAGAATTGCTTTGCTGCAGTTCTTTCTTTTGAACTGCTTACCTGTCATCTTTTTGTCAGCACAGAAAAATAATAATACCACTATCCTAGTCAGATAGCTGGCAATACCAAAGCACCCATATGCCATTCCTCCTTAGGACAGTTCATTTCAGCTGCAAATCTGTTCCACAAAACTGGGATTGTTTTTCAAACCTAGAGTTTTAAGAAAACAACAGTATAATTTACTGTGGGGTGCTGTTTTACACTGAAAAATAGGTAGAGGCTTACTGYTGGAATGTCATTCCTCGCTGATAACTCAAAATAATGTTACATAACAAGCGGCAATACAATAAAGGCTTGTGCTGTGTCATACGATGAAATCAAAGATCAAAGCATCGTAGGTGCTAGGTCAGGCCGCACTAGGAGTTCCAGAAGTATCCTGGAGTTATTTGTGTGCCAAGGACTGGCGAGAAGCACTTAAAAAAAAGAAGAGGGTAAGAAAGAAGCCTTGCAAGTCACGGATGACAGTCAACATCCAACAAAAATGGTCTCATTTCCAGACTGAAACTCTAAGCAGACMGTGAGTCACAGACAGAACGTACATTCCTCAGGGAATAGCTACCATGCAACACTTCAGTTCTACACATGCAATTCTTCTGGAATTCTGCTTAATATTTATTTTAACAGATTCACAGAGATTTCAGACTCTGTGGGCATTAATGTCAAACTTATTGTTAGACAAGTCCTTACAAAGATATCCCAAATATTATTATTAYTCTTCAGCTCTCTTCATCCCCACCTCTTAAGCCTTACCTGAGTGTTTACCTTGGAGATGCTGGTTATCAACAAGAGTTTGGTTCATGAAACTTGTCTATGTTCACTCTAACCTGTCACATCAAGGGGCGGAAGGGGCCATCAAAATGCACTCGTTTATCATGGCATGCTTCCTTGCATGAAGAAGTTTCCAGAAGAACTGTGCCTTCCCGCTTTCATTAAGCCGCTATTTAATAAAAGTTTTAAAACAAGTCCAAGCTGCTGTGACGAACACTGTGATAACTTTCCTTTGGCAAGACATGCTAAAATGCTGTTTACTATAATATACCATACTTGTGTGTCCT